TGTATTAGAGGTAAAAAATTATATAAATACTGTTCGGTTTCTGGCACAAACCGATTGTTTCGTGTCTTAGGACATCAATGTGTCGTCACGAGCCGAAGGGTTTAATTTGGATTGGTCTGTGCATGTTTTTTACACATTGATTTTGTTACCATTGCCATGCATTATACGACTGATAGACTGCAATGGTTAAAGTTAAAAATCATCATGTGTGTTCTACTGAAGAAACAGTCACCTACATCTTGGATGCCCTGGGGGTAAGCAGATAAACATCAAATTTTCATTTTTGGGTGAACTATCCCTTTAAGACTAGTCCAAGCAGTATATGCAACCTGCCCCTGAGTGTGTGTATATATAACAGTATTGTCATTCTCACTACGTTTCCTCCCTCTTTTTACTAAGGATGTCACCACTGGATGGACTTCACCGACTAATCTTACTTATTTAATACTTTAAACAAGTTAGGCTAGAAATCACAGGTCTTAAAGTCTACTTATATTTTAAAGTTTTTAACTTTAAAGTGTTGTGAAATTTCCCTTTTCCTATTTTCTTCAAGTTAATACACTGTCTGTAAACTGCTATGGTCCATGTGAAGAGATGCTCCTTATTGAAGCAAACAATTTCGTGTCATATTTCAAATGAGACGCCATTCATTGCCAATCTTTCTGGACCATTGGCTTTGAACTTTTTTGCTTTTTGTGGAAGTGGTAATCTTTAATCCTGACCTGTATGCTTCATTAAAGATTTCTTTAAGTGCAAACCTCCATTGCATTTTTTTTTTTTCTTCATTTTTGAACCATAGAGCAACAGAGCACAAATTTAGTCAAATATTACTTTTGGGAATTTGATACGTTTAGTTTTAACGTAACCATAATTAACAGAAGTTGCTTTAGGTTTTTAATATGAACCATTTGGGTTATAATGACTGACTTAATTTAAAATGGACAAATGTCTCATGGATTTGATGGTGTTTGTAGGCTTCAGTTTGCACAAGAACACTGAGCAAGATCTAAAATGTTTTTAAATACAAGATTTTTGTAAATGGATTAATCTATGAGATTAATCTGTCAGTACATTAACAACTAACAATAGTGTTTATAAATTAACAGATCGATAAATGCTGTAAATTGTTGCATTATTGTAACAGTCTTTTGAAGTGTTTGTTTCTACATGTTACATTTTTCATTACTTTTTTTTCACAGTGTGCTTTGAGCATTTTTAATTAGTGTGAAAGTTCTGTCCTTTTTTCTGTTACAGTGGCTTATGAGTCACAGAGAAATTATGTTTGCAACGCGGCGCGATTCAACGCAACGTGTAAAAAGACCGTATAAGTCATTATAATCCGTAATTATGTCCCCACTGGATGCAACAAATGCTTAGTTTATAATGGGTTTTAATGTTTTTGTCTCGTCGCTCCCCCGGGACAAGGCATCACAATATGGCAAGGGGCGTAACATTTCCGTCACACGCTTGAGGTATTCGGCCAATCACAACGCACTGGATAGCTGGCCAATCAAAGCACACCTTGCTTTTCAGACCAATGAGCTTTGTAAAAATCGACGCGTTTCAGAAAGGCGGGGCATAGAGGAGAAACAATGTACAGTATGTGGAAAATAATGTGTTTTTTGAACCGTAAACTGCATAAAAGCATTTCATTACATCAAATACACAAAATAATGTTCTTTTTCGCAGCATCTTATGACCCCTTTAAAATACGTAGACTACTGTTGAAAAGTTTGGGGTCGGTAAGATTTAATGTTTTTGAAAAGTCTAAGGTTATTTTATTCGATAAAATATAAAATATTACAGCTTAACTAAATTTAACATTGGTTTATAATATTAAAACAAAAATTTAAAATCTATTTTTAATGTTTTGAGTTTTTTTTTCCTGTGATGGCAAATCATTCTAATATGATTGTATTTTGTGCTCAAGTAACATTTATTTTCGGTGTTGAAAATTATTGTGCTGCTTAATATTTGTTGAACCTTTTTTTCAGGATTTGGTTAATGGAAAGTTCAGAAGAACAATTTGAGTTTTTGATCATAACAATATAAGTCTTATTAATAAAAAAAATAAAAAGACTGACCTCAAACCTTTAAACAGTGAACTTGAATATAATGGATAATGCATCAGATAAAGAACAAAAATACAACTCTTAAACAGTACATTTCTCATTATTGTTATTATTATTATTATTATTACTATTATGAGCTTTTATATTATAGCTTCATGAATGGTATTTGGAAAATGCTGAAAATAAAAAACCTGATGGGACCGCTGTTTTTTTTTTTTTTTTTTCTCCCATAGCTCATTAATATAGAATATTGCCCCGCTCCTCAGTTCTTTAATCTTAAACCATAACTAAATCAGATATGAATGCAGAGACAAATCCTAGATTACACACAAGACATGCTGCAACGTGACTGATAATAAAGATCCCTCATTTGCATCTGGTTTTCTCCTCTCCAACAGATGCTGAAATTAGCCAGCATCATACTGTAGTCGCTCACACGCTTCCATTCGTTCAGCATTTTATGTTTGACACGAGCGTGTCAGTTCATCATTAGCCATGATGGTCTGCAGAATGGGACAGTCTAGAAATGGGGCACTCATACCCATCAGCTATGCTGATGGAAAAATAATACAATGTAGAATTGCATTTTTGTCTCATTCATCCGGTTTTAATGGGGTCATAGGCTATGCTTAGATAATAAAATTGGACATGAATGGATCTTTTGGAGCAGAAAATTGTGGTGTTGTATGAGTGTGGTTCTCTGCCCTTGCTCTGGATTGCTGTATACTATTCATGATTTGCAAATATATTCTGTCCTTCAATTAATTTTCCCCAGAGAGCAATTCTAGCAGCCTGTGTTGTGCCTTTCTGTTTTACAGTTACGTCAGAGTGCCTAACATCAGTGTTTGGTTGCTGTTTACTGGATCAATAATAGTTATTTAGTAGAATTTCATAGTTCAGTGGAACTCAATGTTTGCCTTTTTTCTCATAATTATGACTTCATAATCATAATTTCAATTTAAAATTATGACTGTCACTTTCAACTTGTCAGTTTCAATTTATGACTTAGTGTCTCAATTATTAGTGTGAATTATGACAATTGACAAGTCAATTTTGACTTGATCTAATCGATTGTCATGATTTAACTTGCATCAATTATGACTTTATCTCAGTTTTGATTTGTCAGTTTCAGCTTCTCATAATTGACATCTCAATTTAGTTTTTTTTTTTTGTCATTTTTTTTCCCTTTGTATCTTACTTTGATTTTCATTTAATAATTGACTCATTTCCACTTATGTCAATTGACTTTCGTTTTAGACTTTCAATATCAACTGTCAGTTTTGTACCATAATTGTATCTCAATTTTGACTTAATCGCAATTGACTGTCAATTTCAACTTTGTCATAATTATGACTTAATATCTCATTTTGGCTTTTCATCTCATAATTGACTCATAATTTTGTCTTAATTTTTTAAAAAGATTTACCAAAGCATGTTCTTTTCTTATTTGGTGGAAATTGTGCATTGATTAGTATATGCTAAAGCATTTAATTCAGTGAGTGGTGCCCAGTTCCCATCTTAAAAATAACCTGTTTTTACATTTAAATTTTTAATTTCAAATAGTCTTATGAGTTAGTGTAAAAATGTACTAACTTTGGCTATTTGATCAAATCATGAAATTTGATAGGTTTAAGCGGTAAAGCACATTGCACTGTGTGATCTGTTGTGTGGCATATTTTAAGTTGTGTGTTTTGTGTACAGGTA